GTGTGTGTGTTTGAGAGAGAGAGTGTGTGTGTGTGTGTGTGTGTGTGTGTGTGTGTGTTTGTGAGTGCGTGCATGCGTGCGTGTGTGTGTGTGTGTGTGTGTGTGTTTTACCTGCAGCAGCAGATGATACTTCAGGACTCTCTGCATGGGAACCATCAGCAGATCTCGCAGTGAAAACCTGCCGCTGTTGGCTCTCATTGAGCACTCCTAAATATGAGCAGGTTTGCTAAATGAGATCACTGGTTTGTGCTGGCTTTCAGTTAGCTGGTGATATTTATATCAGGATAAATGTGTCTGTGGTGTCTATGTGTTTCTGACCTCCAGTTTCATCTTCACGTCTTCATGTGTGCTGGTGATTTTGTCCAGGTGTTTGGTGGCGGCTTCCATTCCTTTAAGTGCTGTATGAGTTGTGTCTAAGGTTACTTCTCCTAAAACTCCTCAGCGCTCAGTTCTGTGCGTGTCGTACCTCTCCTTGTAGTCGATGAAGATCTGATAGAGATTCTCGGCTCGTGAATGCAGCATGGACTCCTGCAGCTCGTGAAGCAGAGAGCGATGGGTCTTGGCCAGATCCTGTGAGAGAGGACGTGGATTATTGAGCTGATCGGATGAACCAGAGAGACTCATGAACTGATGAAGATGACAGAGAGACTCACTTGAATATTGATGAAGATGTTCTCGATGTCCACAGGCTGCAGGAAAGGCTGCAGCGGTTTCAGAAAGTGCTGCGGACACCAAATAAACACAACAGGACGTGTGTATGAGCCTGTGTGAGTCACGTGTTCATTGTTCGTGTGTGTCTGAGAGAAGTGTCTGTGTGTTCGCGGTCAAAGAGACCCTGCTGCTGAAACACTTCCGGTTTCAGGTTGACTGGCACGCTCCTCTCATCATCAGTGAACCGCAGCACATGCACATCACAATAGCCTAATGGTCAGAGCCTCGGGGCTCTGCTTCGGCTCCATCTTTTTCCTCTCAAATTTAATCTCATGGATAATGGATATTAATGAGATACATACGAGATATTAATGAGATGTGATTTGTGGTTTTTCTTTCTTGTGGTGTACCAGCAGCTCATTTACTGTTATATTTGATTAAAGGAGTGAGTGAGTTTCATCTGTGTGTGTGTGTGTGTTTACCTGAAGTATTGATTCCAGTGTGTTTGTGTATTTCTCCTCTGTCTGTCTGAGCTCCTGAAGACAGCAGCTCCTCTTGTCCACTTCAACCTTCTGCTGCTGTGACAGACAGACAGACAGTTATCTATATGTTCTCTGTGTGTATTTGTGTGTGTGCGTGTGTGTGTCTCACTGTTTCTGGTTCCTCCGTCCTCATCAGATCTTCATAAATATCATCTCCTTCTTTCTCGTCTTCCTCCACACAGTCATAAAGATCATCATCTTCCTCCACCGTGTCACTGAGAGACAGTCAGTTCTTTAATAAAACTTTATTCACTTCATTTATATATTGCTTTAAGAAATGATGAAGGTTTTGTCAGATTAAGCTAATTTCTTTGTACAACACACTCACACTCACACACACACACACACACACACACTCACAGACACAGACTCACACACACTCACACGCACACGCACACGCACACGCACACGCACACGCACACGCACACGCACACGCACACGCACACGCACACGCACACGCACACGCACACGCACACGCACACGCACACGCACACGCACACGCACACGCACACGCACACGCACACGCACACGCACACGCACACGCACACGCACACGCACACGCACACGCACACGCACACGCACACGCACACGCACACGCACACGCACACGCACACGCACACGCACACGCACACGCACACGCACACGCACACGCACACGCACACGCACACGCACACGCACACGCACACGCACACGCACACGCACACGCACACGCACACGCACACGCACACGCACACGCACACGCACACGCACACGCACACGCACACGCACACGCACACGCACACGCACACGCACACGCACACGCACACGCACACGCACACGCACACGCACACGCACACGCACACGCACACGCACACGCACACGCACACGCACACGCACACGCACACGCACACGCACACGCACACGCACACGCACACGCACACGCACACGCACACGCACACGCACACGCACACGCACACGCACACGCACACGCACACGCACACGCACACGCACACGCACACGCACACGCACACGCACACGCACACGCACACGCACACGCACACGCACACGCACACGCACACGCACACGCACACGCACACGCACACGCACACGCACACGCACACGCACACGCACACGCACACGCACACGCACACGCACACGCACACGCACACGCACACGCACACGCACACGCACACGCACACGCACACGCACACGCACACGCACACGCACACGCACACGCACACGCACACGCACACGCACACGCACACGCACACGCACACGCACACGCACACGCACACGCACACGCACACGCACACGCACACGCACACGCACACGCACACGCACACGCACACGCACACGCACACGCACACGCACACGCACACGCACACGCACACGCACACGCACACGCACACGCACACGCACACGCACACGCACACGCACACGCACACGCACACGCACACGCACACGCACACGCACACGCACACGCACACGCACACGCACACGCACACGCACACGCACACGCACACGCACACGCACACGCACACGCACACGCACACGCACACGCACACGCACACGCACACGCACACGCACACGCACACGCACACGCACACGCACACGCACACGCACACGCACACGCACACGCACACGCACACGCACACGCACACGCACACGCACACGCACACGCACACGCACACGCACACGCACACGCACACGCACACGCACACGCACACGCACACGCACACGCACACGCACACGCACACGCACACGCACACGCACACGCACACGCACACGCACACGCACACGCACACGCTCACGCTCACACTCACACTCACACACACACTCACTCGATCTGGTCTGAAAGGCCGGTGTAGATGTCATCATCTCCGACACACGCTTCATCTGGAAACGGCCTGCAGTGAACATGACAAACACAAATAACAGTGAACACGGCTGTTACGTGAACATTCTGCTGAACATCTGCCTCTGTGCTTCACACAGGAGAACCAGTCAGACGTGTCTGGAATGACATGCGGGTGAGTAAACCATGACTAACTCAACTAAACTAAGTGTGTGTGTGTGTGTGTGTGTGTGTGTGTGTGAGTGTGAGTGTGTGTGTGTGTGTGTGTGCGTGTGCGTGAGCGT